GCTCAGCAAGGTCACAGAGCAGATAGGACCCAGAGCCTAGATCCAGGCTAGCGGTGGTCGGGTCCCTGTGCCCCCCCGAGGGGAGCAGAGGCAGGACGTCTAAGGAGGGGGCCCTGCCCACGTGGCCTAAGTGGTGCCCGCACCTGCCCAGCCGTGGCAGGACTGGGCCAACCTGCATGGCGCCGGGCCCTGCACTTCAGCCTGTGGCCACCAGGGGGCGCACCCCGTTAGGCTCAGAAGCCAGAACAGAGAGTTTGTGCGGCACGCCTGCCCCAGGCCTGCAGGCTCGGGGCGCTCTGCCGCCTCGGCCTCCCTGGGGCCTGGAGCCCAGCCGAGGAGCCCCCACTCCGCAGGGCAGGGAGCACAGCCTCCCTCTGACCAGAGGGAACGCCCTGCACGCCGTGCTTCCTCCACCGGGGGGCACTCGCGGCTCCACCTCCTCAGCCTTTCTGAGAAGCGGAACCTGGAAAGCTGGGACGAGGTTGGGGAACCTACCGGTGGCATTTTATGAATTTATTTTTTAAAATGGGTGTATTGATGCCGGAGGAAGGGAGAGGGAGAGAGAGAGAAACGTCCGTGATGAGAGAGAACCATGGATCGGCTGCCTCCTGCACGTCCCCCACTGGAGACCGAGCCCGTAGCCCCGGGCCTGTGCCCTGACCAGGAATCGAACCATTTCCTCCTGTTTCACAGGCCCATGCTCAACCCCTGAGCCACGCCGGCCGGCCCTGATGGCAATTTAAAGCGAGGGCAACACGGGAATGATGTTTCTGGGGTCCTCGGGCCACTCAGTAGAAGTTTGCTGAGTGCCTACTATGTGCAAGGCACTCCCAGGTGCTGAAGTGCAAACGTGCTGATTCACACAGAATGGAGGACCAGCAGCCTCCAGCCCCCGGGCCGCAGGCAGCCCTGACCCTGAGCCTGTCGCCCCCGGCCTCCCCTCCCAGCTGTGCCCACCTCCTCGGTGGGAACCACGCGGGCGCTGGTAGGGACCACAGCCCCAGCCCAGCGGTGGGCACCTCACTTCTTCACTTTACAGGAAACCAAGGCTCAGAGGGTCAGGGGGGTGGCCGAAGGTGGAAGGAGCCTGGGCCAGCGGCTGTGGGGAGGCAGCGGGTCCCTGAGGTGGCTGAGGGCTGTGGCCGGCGCAGAATCCAAGGTGGGGCCACCGCTCGGAGGCCAGTGTCCACATCCAAAGGGTGGGATGGCTGGGGTTGGGGGGCAGGGACAAGAGGAGGGACAAGGAGAGGCTGCGGCTCAGGGCCAGGCTGAACGAGGAAGCCCCACTGGCAGCGGGGCCTGGCTGGGAGGGGCCTGGGGGCAGGCTGGCTCCTCTGAAACAGTCCAGGATGGACAGAATGGCCCCGTGGGAGCTCAGAGGAAAGGGGCAGTCTGGGCAGGCTTCCTGGAAGAGGTGTGCCTGAAAAGAGCAGAAAGTGGTGAGATGGAGCTAGCTGGTTTGTCTCAGTGGATAGTGCGTCGGCCTGCGGACTGAAGGGTCCTGGGTTCGATTCCAGTCAGGGTATATGCCCGGGTTGTGGGCTCGATCCCTGGTGGGGGGGGGCAGGAGGCAGCTGATCCATGATTCTCATTATTGATGTCTCTCTCTCTCTCCTTTCCTCTCTGAAATCAGTAAAAATATATTAAAAAAAGGAAAAGGCGCAAGTGGGGAGATGGCCAGGGCAGAACCAGCGTCCTGGGTTTACAGACCGGACAGCACCTGCCGTGGCCCTGGGCTTGGAGGCTGAGTCCAGTGGGGCCGGGGTCCAGCGTCACTCAGGCAGGGCATGGTTGGCGGGAGAGACAGGCCTACAGGCAAAGCCACCCATGGCCTTGGTGCTGGGATGGGAGGAGCCGAGAGCCGAAGCCCGGCTGGCGAGTCAGAAGGAGCCCGGCTGGAGCCAGCGAAGCGGGGAGAGCATGCCAGGCAGGGTCCGCGCCTGTGCAAAGGCCCTGAGGTTAGAGACCGACACTGGACGCGTCCAAACGCAGCCCGGGCCGGTTCTGTTCTGGGTGCTGAGGAGCCCGCAGGATAGAAACGGGGTGTCCTGCCCGTGGAGCTGACATGCCAGTTGGGGGACGGAAAATGCACAGAATACATCTGGGCATGAAGGAGGGTGTGGGCAGTTTCCTCCGGCCGCTATCACATATTGCCACACACAGAGTGGCGTGAAATAACACGCGTTTCCTCTCTTCCAGTCCTGCAGGTCGGAGTCCTGAGTGGGGTCAGCAGGGCTAGTTCCTTCGGGACACTCTTGGGGGCATGGGGGGACCCATTTCCCATCTCCTCCAGCTTCTAGAGGTGGCGGGATCCTTGGCTGTACCCCTTCCTCCACCTTCCGGCCAGCAGGGCAGCATCTTCGGCTTCAGCTCTAGCTCTCCGTGACCTCCGGTTCCACGGTTGCATCTCCTCAAATCCTGACCCTCCCGCCTCCCTCTTGTAATTCTGTGGGGATCTTTACGACGACAATGCCGTTGGACCTCCCCTGGATATCTAGGAACCCTCTCCATCTCTGGACCCTTAACATAACCACTTCCGCAAGGTCCGTGCTGTGGGGTAAGGTCAGTCCCAGGGGCTGGGGAGCTGGGCATGGACGTCTAGGGGACTTCATTCCACCTGCCACAGCATATCAGAAAGGACGAGGGCCCTGACCGGTGTGGCTCAGTGGACAGAGCGTCGGCCTGCGGACTAAAGGGTCTCAGGTTTGATTCTGGTCAAGGGCATGTACCTTGGTTGCAGGCACATCCCCAGTGGGGGGTGTGCAGGAGGCAGCTGATCGATGCTTCCCTTTCATCGATGTTTCTCACTCTCGATCCCTCTCCCTGCCTCTCTGTAAAAAATCAATAAAACATATTTAAAAAATACAATAAAATAAAATAAAAAAGAAAGGGCGAGGGACAAAGCCAGAGAGGAGGAGAGGGGGGGGATGGAGCAGTTTTAAGGGGATGGTCAGGGTGGACCTCAAGGGAAAGCAGCCCTTGAGCAAAGACCTGAGGAGGAGGAGGGCGGCGGTGCAGATCCTGGAGCTGGAGAGCAGGCCGCTCAGGGCCCAGCACAGCCTGAGGCGGGAGCAGGCCGGGGTGCCTGGGGTGGCCCAGCAGGAGGAGGGCAGCGGGACCTGCACTCAGAGAAGCGGGGCAGGTGGGCTGGCGAGGACCGTGCAGGTCCCACCTGCTTCCCGGCGGAGCAGGAGTGGGCGAGGGGGGTCTGTGGGAACCTTGCTCCCTTGCAGCCCAGGGGTGAGCGGGGCTTGGGACCAGCAAGTCCCTCTGGAGATCTTGCTCTGGGTATACAGTGGGAGCAAGGAGCTGGGGCTGTGTGAAGGTCTCCACCCCGGGGCCCCAGAGGTGAGATGGGGGCGCGGGTGGGGGGTAGCAGGCCTCGGAAGGGGCGTTCTCTACGCAGGGGTCTCCGTGACCCCTGAGATCACTGACCCCCACTGGTGGGCACTGAGCTCCTTCCTGCATCTGCCGAACAGATGCGGTCCCTGATGGGCGTTCAGCGGGCGGGCCTCAGGCGAGGTGACAGCGCGTGCTGGTGCGTGCGTGGCTGTGCGCCTGGCTGTGCGCAAGGCCACCCTCAGCGGAGCCAGACGCACGAGATCGCGT